ACCTGACTGCAAATATCTTTTCTTGTATTCCCATATTTCTAGACAATGATTTTTGTAAGACAATAAATTTATTCATTATAGATACTTACGCCTGCTTATTTACTTGGAGGAAAAAGCACCCGTTGAGAATAAACAGACCTCAATAAAGAAGAATAATCATGTGAACATGGAACCTGTTTTCTCACCTTCTGTTCTCAATATCCCATCTGTGACTTGACTGGAGGGGGGTTAGCTACACTTAAAAGATGGTACAAGGTCCACTGGATCTTTCCTCTCCCAGAAATTACTCAATGGCACGCTACATCTCCAGGCAGTCCTGGCTCTTAAGTCCTGTTGTCACCAGTGACCTGCTGTTGTGTGGATAGTTGGGGAGGGAAAGGACACCCGAAGGTGGGGCTGGAGACCCTTCTGCCAAGGAAGCAATTCAGGATGGTTTGGGTCATCAACCAAAGAAGGTAATCACTGGAAAGGACACCCGAAGGTGGGGCTGGAGACCCTTCTGCCAAGGAAGCAATTCAGGATGGTTTGGGTCATCAACCAAAGAAGGTAATCACTGGATTAGAGTACTTTAAGAGGTCCAAGAAGTTTCAGGTTGCATCTTCAGACAGGATATACACTGAAAGCACTTTGGGAGTGGATTCGAGCAGCTAAAGTTGGAGAGAAATCCCAGGCAGGCAGACAGGTTTTTGGGGGTTTTTGGCACCAGGGATTGAACTCCGGAGCACTTAACTACCTGAGCCACATCTCCAGCCCTTTTTTTAATTTAAAGTCAGGGTCTTCCTGAGGTGCTTAGGGCCTCACTACATTGCTGAGGCTGGCTTTGAACTCACAATCCTGCCTCAGCCTCCTGAGCCACTAGTATTACAGGCATGTACCGTCACACCTGGCCAAATAAGATTTCTTGCTCCATAATAGTCTTGGCTATTAGTCAAGTGTAAGCCCACACATCAACCTGGTAAGAGGTGCGTGTCTAAGCTTCTTAGCAACAGTGAGGACATGAGGAGGACAAAAGTGCTCCCTTTTGTTCGCATAGGTAGTTGGAGTTCCAGTGTTGCAGCTACCTTCTCTCACCCACATCCAATAAATTAGTCCAGGAGTTCATGGACTTATGGGAATTGTTTGTCTCAAAGAATTCTTTCCTGCTGGCTGGCTTGACTCTCCACATCAGCCCACCAGAAGAAACACTCTCCATGGACTGATTCCAGTTCCAGATGCCACAAAGATGCTAACTAGAAGGAACCTTTCTTCATTAAAAGTACATTCATGATCTAAGAAAGATAGTTCATAACACCTCTCCCAAGCATTAGGGCACAAGGAAGGTGGACTCTTGAGAGTGCTAGCAAGTCTTAAGAGGCTGACCACCTTTCACCAAGTAGCACAGGTCAACAAGAGGTTTAGGTGGGATGAAACCATGCTGGAGCTTTACCTCAAAGCTTCATGCAAACTAAATGTTCCATCTTTGCTATGTCATAGGCACTATTTTTTTGTTTTGTGTGTGTGTGTGTGTGTGTTTAATGGTTCTGGGGATTATTTAAACTACTCTGGTAGGGCTAACACCTTTCTCTAGCCTGCTGGCTTGATAACACTTGTAAAACTCTGAAGTCTCTAAAGTCTCTATAGCCCACCATAAGTTCTTCCTGTCACCAATTTTCCYCATCCCTGGCAACCCCAATTAAAATGAACTATGGGCCATAAAGCCAAGTTATTCTGGCCAGCCCTCCTGTGGCGCTGGGTATGACGGTCCCACAGCCCCTTTTCCCTAAGCCAGTGATGCCAAGGAATAGACCTGTCCCTGTCAAGACTGATGGAGGGCTGAGGTTAGAGCTCAGTGGAAGAGCGCTTGCCTAGCATGTGTGAGGCACTGGATTTGATTCTCAGCACTACATATCGATAAATAAAAGTCCATTGACAACTAAAAATATATTTWAAAAAAAAAGACTAGTGGAGAAAGCTTTCAAAACCACCCCTTCCTACCCTGCCTCACCTCTCAAAACCCAAAAGCCAGAACTGGCCACAGAATGGACTCTGGAAAGGAGAAAGGAGAGGCATAGCTCCTCTTTCTCTAGTTCTGGAGACCTGAGGGGAGGTCCTCTCTGCAGACTGCCTTATCACTCTAAGAGGGATACGATGAAGTCCCTCCCCACCTTTCTGGGGTAATGTGAACCAAGAGCTTTTCCAAATCTTGACTGATTTTAAAAATGTCCTGCTGCAGAAGTCAGCACCAGACCTCGCAGTCCAGTCCATTCCCATCATTTGGGAATCCACCAAATGTGCAGTGTCTTGTTCTTGTCAGAAATCTAACATGAAACTATCAAAAGGGCATAGTTACCTGATGATTACATTTTCAGAGCTGGCGTCATCCTACAGTTGCAGTGCGTATGTACCATATGCAAAAAGTGTGAGCATGTCCTTCGATTCCTACTGAGACAGGAAATTCATGTCTGATTCATTACAGCAGTGGGATCTGTTCAGTTTTTCAAAGTAGCCCAATCATGGGCTCCATTCCAACTGACTGGATGTCATGAAGCCTTATTTAAGATTTAATGCGACACTGGGTCTGGGGGAAATCAAGCAGGGTGCTGCCTGCTCCATATTGTACTGTGCAGATTATAAAATACCTCGGATCTCATGCATCTCACAATCACTGTCAGCAGGTGGCAGTTGGGATGTGGCTATCACCTGACTTCTGGTAAGATCAATATAGCCCAGCACCAAAACTTGCAGAATGCGTATCAGTAGCTTAGAGGAAAATTCTGGAGCCAACAGTGGAAAYGCTTTTCAAGAATGCTATATCACCAACACTCAGCACAACACACAGGGCAGCACTGCTTGGGGAAACAAATAATGAAAACAATGGGTCAAATAGTAGTTCAAAAAAATAAAGTAGTTCAGAATGTTGGACTCAGAAGGTGATGTTTTATGAATCTCGCCTTTTTCTTTTTGTATATGAATTAAGTGTGATAAGATAGAAATCTGAAGAAGTTTAAAAGCTAATAAATTTATAAGAAGTATAAATGGTGGGCTGGGGCTGGGGCTCAGCAATAGCACACTCTCCTGGCATGTGTGAGGCACTGGGTTCGATCCTCAGCACCACATTAAAATAAAGGCATTCTGTCCATCTACCATTACCAAAAAAAAAAAAAAAARTCTTTAAAAAAGAAGTACAGGGCTGGGGCTATAGCTCAGTGGCAGAGCACTTGCCTTACACGTGGGAGGCACTGAGTTCGATCCTTAGCACCACATAAAAAAATACACAAATGCTGTCCACCTACCACACACACACACACACACACACAAAAAAAAAAAGTACAAATGATAAGCATTTTCATAGTTCTAATTGGAACATTTTTCTTAGTGGTTCGCAAAATATAGGTGTGTCTTCTAAGCCCTGGTGTCTGAGATTCTATGAAATACATAATACTCTCTTCAAGGCCAGGACTCAGGGACCTGGAAAGCAGCAGCTGTTCCTCCTCCTCCTCCTTTTCTACTACTATTTTTTTTAAGGTGTAGATGAACTCAATACCTTTATTTTATTCATTCATTCATTCATTCATTCATTCTTTTATTCTTTTATGTGGTGCTGAGGATCAAACTCAGTGCTTCACATGTGCTAGGCAAGGGTTCCACCACTGAGCTACAACCCCAGCCCCGGGAAGCTTCTAACATTTCTCCAGGTATGAATGAGCTGGTCACTGGGCAATCAGGGAGCTACTGCCTTGTGTTGCTACTGCTCGAAAACCTTGAACTCTTCATCACACAAGGACAATGGATAAAAATCAGTATTCGGCCAATTTTCAAAAATTAATCTGAGCAACTTAAAGTAAAAAATTTAGAAGCCACAGAGTAAGCCATCTGCATCCTTTGCATTTCAATTTCCCTCCCCTAATAAAGTTGTCATAAGCATGTTCCTGTTTGTGTCCTTCTCCATTGGTCATTTTCAGTCTTGTGGGTAAGCAATGGCTGCACGCTTTCAGGGGCTCATCCTGACCATTCCCTACCAACCAACACTGTATTACAGCCATTGAAACTTGTTTGATTTGTTCTTACCATCACAGAGTATGAAAAGTAGTTTTCATAGCTTATCACATTGTTAGAATGATTCCAGACATACAGAATAGCAAAGAAACCAGTGACATGAAAGTCCACCTCTTCTACATTCCAGTTGACAATGGGATTAACAGTTTTTTTCCTAGTTAAATCACATTTTTTTTTTTAACCAAAGCAAGTGTTTCTTAGCTCCATCCTCTACTATAGGAAGCAGCAGGGCTGAGCTTCATTAAGACATCACTCATCTGTTTCCTCAACCATGTCCAGAAAACCTACAGCCCAGGCTGACCAGCCAGCACAAGTGAACCCACTGCCCTCTGCCAGGCCTCCACCCGCAAACCATGGTCCAGGCAGCATCTCCATACTGTGTCATGGAGACAAGAAACTGACACCTGATCAGAAAACACCCCATAAATGGAAAAGTTCAAGTTCAGTGTGTAATATGTATCCCTCGGGGGAGGCTTCCTAAAGAGCTGACAGGAAACGCTAACAGAATTCCTGTAGATGCAAATGAACAAAAGGACCTCGAACACCCCCCCACCCCCGCAACACGAACCCCATTTGATCCCCAATTCAAGCACTATTAAGATTTGTTCAGGGGCTGGTGTTGTGGCTCAGTGGTAGAGCGTTTGCCTAGCATGTGTGAGGCACTGGGTTCAATTCTGAGCACCATACATAAATAAATAAAATGAAGGTCCATCGACAACTAAAAATTATATATATCTAAAAAAAAAGATTTGTTCAGTTTTCAATTTTGCCTCTTCACATGTACACTTATAAAGGAAGTCTGTTACATTCATATTTACTCCATTATTGTTTTTCCTTAAAATTCAAAAAAAAGACTACTATATTCCCATAAGTTACATTTTTAATAATCATGGGACCATTTTTCAGATAAGGTGCTTAAAGTCACAGGAAAGTGACTTTCAAAGATGATTGCTCTCCTCTACTCATTTTTAGAAAAGAATCACATTTTTTTTTTTTTTTTGGCTTGGCTTGGCTTTAAAAATTTGTCTCAACCTTTGGGGAAAACAGAGAAAAACAACCATGAAGGAAAAACTTGAATGTGAAAGGGCTTATCTTGGTGTCTTCCAACAGTGAAATCAACGGACTGCTTAGCCCATCCCAACACTTGCCCATGTTCCCTCCAGCAGCCAGGCAGGTTCCTCAGTTTTATTCAGGGAGGAAAGGGTGAGGTAGGTATAGGGTGCTCCCTAAAGCTGTGGCTCTCTCCCAGAACACCTTCTCCCATTTTCCCAAATGTGCTGGCCTCCATCCCAGCTCTCAGGAGATGCTAATGGCAGCTCTGAAACAGCTTCTGAGAGAGGCAGAGTGAACAGTCCAGCAAGAGCGGGACATGGAGGGAGGGAGGGCTGGGGGAACTGGATTCCTCCTGCTGCACAGCTGTGCTGCCCCCACAGCTCATCATTTCCAAGCCTTCAAAACCTACTCACCTCCTGAGGGAAAAGGCAGACCACAGAAGCTAAGGCCAGCAAAGACTCAAGTTTGGAAAGGCATAGTGGGAAAAGACACTGGCCTCTTTCCCATCTTGGCTTTGCTCTGAGCTAGCTGTGTGAGTTCCAGGAAGGCCAACTCTTTGGGCACACTGTCCCTTCTGTAAACTGAGGAAAAAATAACTATCCTGCTGGGCTCAGCCACTTCCACATGGCTCTCCCATGCCTCACAGGGACTCCGGACTATGAAATGAGTTAGTAGAGTTTCTGGCCACTCTGGGCTGAAAGGAAGAGGAACACTGGCTCCTACTCTCATCCAGGAAGATGTTTCAGGAGCGAGGGATGGGACTGGTGGTGAAGTAAAAACATCTGGAGGCAAGAGGCTGTGCTTTGCCATCCGGAAGATCAGCTGCTTCCAGGTGAGAAGATCACGTGGACCCAGCGTGGAGAGGGCTCATTCCTGACAGCCAGGCAATGGGCAGCCCTAGGAAGAAATCCATTCAGAGGAGATCTTTAGCTAAAAAGGCAAACAGTGAGTAGCAACATTCACACCAAGTTGCAAATGAAAAATTACAAAGCAAAATATTGAACAAAAACATCTAAAAAAATGGATGAGGCTGACGGAGCCAAACAGTTTCCTTACAGGGCCATATGCAAAGGGCTACTACAGTCATGAGGGGAAAAAAAAAAAAAAAAAACAAGTGAGGGTCTACTCCCAAAGGGACTAGAATTAAGTCTAACATCATACTACTACTCTTTCACAGATATAGCCCATGGTCTTTTGGACTGGTGAATACATGGGGCCCATCCCCAGCCATCAACCAACTGATCAACAATTGACAGAACAGTCTGGGTGAAATGAACCCAGAGGTATGCAGCTGCTAAGGAACTGAGAAAATACTGGGAATCCAGGGATGACAACTCAGGTTTCCAAATCTCATCCTTGCTTAAACCAGAGTAGCTCTGCTTGATAGGTTTCAGATTTAGGATTCCTACATGAACAAAGAGGTCTGCTAAATGCCTAAACCACCAATCTAATCCAATCCTTCCAATGATACTTGGGCAAGAAGCTGGGAGTTACTGCACATCAATGGCAAATACCTACAATTCCCATGACTCCGAAGGCTAAGGCCTGAGGATTACAAGCTTAAGGCCAGTTGGGGCAACTTAGCAAGACCCTATCTCAAAATAAAAAGTAAAAAGGACTAGGGAGCTCAGTGGTAGAAGCACCCCTGGTTGAATCCCCATTACAGCAAGAACAAAAAAGCAATAAGAAACTTGGAGTTTTCTTTCCTTCTGCTCTACCAGCAGAGCTGGGCACAGCACACACCACTGCAAATGCCTTTAGGTGAGTCAGCTTATAACAAAATTTCCAGCAACAGTGAATGACAGGCATTCCTTGACAGCAAAAATATTTGAATATGTATCCTACTTAACACTTCTTACTCACTTAAGACTTTGACTTTTCATTCACTTATAGTTTTAAAACTATGAAGTATGCCATATATATATGCTGCTGTAAGCTAGCAGTGTTCAAAACCTGACGTATTCACCCATACCCCCAGTTTACACATTYCTTGGCATGTTGCCTTGTACTTGGAATCACACATCTAGCACCTTCTCTCACTTGCTAGCACTAACCTGAGAATAACAGGAGACAAGTCCAGATCCAAGCAACTTGTAATCCCAAAACATTTGTCATAAGGCCGCACAGCTGGAGGACCAGCTCCTGGATCTATCCCAGTTAGTTACCCCATGACCTGGCAAGCCCCATCCCTCAAAATCCTGAATCTTCCCCCAGATTTTCACATGGGGCCTGGGACATTCTTGGGCTGCCCCTGGAAATCAAATAGAGCTGGTAACCAGCACAAAGAATTATCATGAGCACGCCTGTTCCCTGCACATCTCCCAAGGCCACCTGAATCTTCTTTGTCTACTACACAGCTGCTGTCCATCTGCACATCACATATCAGAGCAAAAGAGACACTTGAACTTGGCCTTTGTACACTCCAGCTCTCTCTCACGGGATGGCAGGAACCCAATAAAGCAACCTCAATCCTTTTTTTTTTTTTTTTGTGAAATTTATTGTTTCCACATTAAAAGATTTTTTTTTTTGAGGGGAAGTATTTTCTTTTTTTTTTTCTTTTTTTCTTTTTTTTAGCCACATGATGATCCTATACAGCTGCCCCAGAGAAGGACACCATCATAAGTCATTAACATGCCATGTGAGTTCTGAATAAATAAAAGCTACAAAGCCCAAGTTATATACAAATATCTTAGGCAATAATGTTTACAAACCTATGTACAATAAAACAAATGTAAACAGTAAATGCAGCATGAGAGTAACCAAAGGATGCACAGGGACAACCACTTTTGGTCAGTCTGCCACCAGGAGCTGGCACCAGGCAGCCCCCGGAATCAGGCTACTCAATCCTTCCCAATGCAACTGGACGGACCCTCAGAGGATAAAACAAAAATGTTCTGAAGATGGCATTTAACTGAAGGACCAGAAAGCTGGTGAGGAAGTTGCCACCCACCTCTGAGGCACATGGACGACGCAGCAGCATGGAAGCTCAGCCCTGTGAGTGCCCAGGCCTGGAGGTTCCTGCCACCTGCCATTCAGAGGGCATCTTGCTGCTTTGGAGGCAAGCCTATGGAATGGTAACTGCTTACATAAAATCAGAAGGTATAGACAATGTTTCCCTAATTCAGTGACCTTCCTGACTCTGCCAGAAACAGTTCAAACTGTGGGGATGAAGTTGGGGGACACATGATCATGAGCACTGAAGATGCATGGGTGGGAGCTCAGGAGAGGGCACGTGTAAACCTGATTTGGGGAAAAACTTCTAGAAGATCTGCAATGTCCTAAA